CGCCACTTATTGGGCCGGACCCAGGAAGGCAAAGAACAAAAGATGCCACCTGACCTGTGACCAACGACTAGCGAATTAATCCTCTCCCCCGCCTGCGCTGGAAGCGCGCTGGTCGTCAGAGGTTGAAGCCTGTCTTTCACGGGCGGGTCGGGCTATGGGAAAACATTTCCCGCACTTGTCGCGGGTGGCCACGGAATCCAGTGTCTCGCGGACTTTGAATTCAGACTGATTCTTTCCAAACGGCCATCCACAGCGGGCGCGCCATTGTTTGGGACGCATGTCCAGTTTGTAAATCAAAGTGGCATGGAATTTGCCATCGCGAGCCATGTTCTGGGTGATGACACCCGGGCGATTTCCGCTAGGGGTGTGCAGTGGTAAAACCGCTTCGCAATCCTCGAGCATGGTTGGGGTGCATGAATTGGCTTTTGCACAAGGCGATGCGCTGTTGCAAAAGTTGGAGCTGTTCGCTAGCACGCTGGACAGACATGGAAGCTGTTGATTCCAACGCCAATTTGTCCAGCTGCTTTAAAGGAGCGTCTTGAACGTAATGGAGAAACACGTTGGAGCCCCATCGTCCAAACAGCTGTATGCGCCAAAGCTCGATGTTGTGTTCGGCCATGAAGCGCGCGCCCGTCACTCGGGCGCTGTATCCCGTATAAAGCCGGGCACCATTGCTGCGCGCAATGGGTAATTGGAGGCGAATAGCCAATTTCTCAAAGGTGTCCGCCCAACCTTCTTTGCTCGCCGGTGAGTTGATGTCCTCTGCCGGGAAAAGAGGTTGATCTGGATCCGAGGGTAGCTCGGCTAGCAGTTCCACCATGACGTGGAATGGACACAGGTTGGGAGGGCGCATGAGCACGTATGCGATCTCTCTGCTCCCAACGCCGCCTGGTCAGTCTTTGAACTGGGTAGGCGCCATGTGACCTTGCGATCTTCGTGGGAAACAGTGATGTGTTTCCTTCGTGCCCTGGATGCTTCGATCTCGGGGGAAGCCACCATGAGGCAAGGACGGTTGCTGAGACCGGATGGCGTGGGCCGCCCTTGACCAGCTGCTCTACTCTGCAGAGTGTGGCCACCTGTTCGAGTGGGAGCCCGCCACTGCCTGCTTGCCTCAGCTGGTCGCTCCATGGGAGGCCGAGCGCTATGTGGTGGTTCTTTGCGGCGTCCAGGTAGAGTTGAGCTGATCTGTATCCTCCGACCTTCAACGCCCCCATGACCGCGTAGATTCGTAGATCATGGTAGGGGTCTAGGTGGAATGGATCAGACCAGCCTGCGGCCTTGGCCAAGTTCGCCCACAGCTTGTGTCTCGAGGCTAAGGGCCCTCTCGACGACGCTGCGGATGCGTCCTTTTCCAACTCTAGCCGACGTCGGTGCAGATCTCTTGCCGCTCGTAGGGCCGCCTCGACGGAACCTCGACCAAGGGTCTCGGTTCACCCGGGCCGGCGTCGTGCCTCACGCTCTCCCAAGGAAGGAGTCGCCCCGGAGGCTGCTCTTGTGCTCGGCCACCACCGAAGGCGCCGGCAAAGCAAAGCCTTCGTGAAGTAGACCGACTTTGGGTCGTCCGCCCTCTAAGGTCGGATGTGGTCCCGGGAGCGTGCGCTTGAATGGCACGCTGCGGCGCCTGTCACGCACGGATGAACAATTGGTGTTGGTTTTGGTTTCATCGGTCCACACTGCCCCCCCGACCTACGCTCTTTTCCACACCTTTCGGTCGGGTTGACGTTCTCAGTTCAGCTCGACTCGCCAGAAGTCTCGCTCGACGGTCACTTCGGAGCGTTCCGCCGAATGCAACGTTTCTGGGAAACCAGCGGGCGTCGGCGCAGCCAGCCTGGACAAGGCGTCTGCCTCTAAATTTGTCTTGTCCGGTATGTGTTCGAGCCAGGTCAACCTGTACGACCTCAGTGCTTGGTCGAGAGCAAATTCTCTAGCGAGGGAATTGAGCTCAGGTGACTCCGCCCCTCCCTTAATTTGCCAGCATGCGCAACACTCCGAGATTGTCGTCATGACTTGGCCCTGATGGCTGCAACGCGGCTCAGCCCGGGGAGCCAAAGCCTGAAGGCTACCAGTAGCGCTAGCCCTTCCCAGAGTGCGTTGTACTTTGACAGCCCTGTCTGCGCTTTAAACCTGCGCAAGGCTTCGTCAGGAATCGGGCTGGTAAAGTACCTGACTTTTGTCCCGTCGATTGATAGGACGCCTCCGATTCCCCAAGCGCTAGCATCAGTGATCACTTCAGCCCGCACCTCGGGTATCTTGCTCTCCAGCGTCCTATGCAATGGCGCAGGCTGTCCCTTCACTAATGCCTCTATCCATCGCAATGCCGGGCGTATCCTACGGATGTGGACCAGCTTTCCGGAATGCTGGGCTTTGCCCACTCCGTCATTCGCCGACGAGCCACCGCCCACTGTGATGCCAAGAACGGGCGCAAATGCGGGACTATATAGTCCTGCGACAAATGAAAGTGCACCCGCGTAGGAACGAAGTTGACGCATTCCCACTACAGGCCGCTTCAAAAGGAGTTGGGCGCTCTCTTGGATCTTTGCAATCTTCGAGGCTGGGATGGTGACCCGGACGCTGCGCTCGTGGTCGTCCAATTCGAGCGTTGCACCCACCCAGTTGATGGTTTTGAGGATAACTTCACAGGGAAACCCATCACGGCAAACCAAAGGAGCAGTATGGTTAAATTCCTGCCTGCTTCTTCTTGTGTCCCGCCGCGGAGGACAAAGGCCGGGTCATCTACATAGATTTGGACCCCGACATTTGGCAGGATCGCTGTACATGACCTCCCTAGCCAAGCGGCGTATCTGCCCCAAATCGTGGGTGAGCTGCCAGCCCCGAAGACCAGGGCGTCGAAGATGACGATCTCCATCTTGTCAGGTTTCTTCGGGTTGGGCCTTGCAGCAACCGTGACGATTTGTCCGGGCCAGATGGGATGTTCATGAAGGCGTCCTTCACGATGGCTGCCAACCACGGTTCTTCACCTTGCCGGTAGACGTGTGTAGCTTGCTGCGCCAAGTCCAGGAGCCTGGGCAACAATATACGCTCGCCTTGGCAGCAGACTGCGTTGGCCTTTGACTCGCGGAGGTCCCAAATCAGCCTGCGTTTCTTGACCCCTTCAGGCTGACTTTCACAATGAGGCCCAGTTTGTTCAGCGCCGGCGGCTTGCCCAACTCCTTGACTGCTTCCTCCATCGAGTCTGCTATGTGGCAGAACCCTCTTGAGATGTAGTCGTCGATCAGGTTCTGGACCTTTCCTCTTCGGCTGAAGCATAGTTCTGCCAGCCTTCCAGGGACCTATAGAGGTCTTGGTGCATATCGGTTGCCTTGAGGTCTGGCTCAACGGTTGGGAGATTCCGACGCTGGGGATGTCCTGGTTGTAGCCCAGCGGGGCACCGTGGTCTAACCAGTTGCAAAAAGTGTTGGGAGGAGGCCCGACCCCAGGCCTGTATGACATTGGCGTGAATGGGTGTGGATGCCCACACCGTCCGCCTTCTCTGCTCGGTGGGTCCTCCTAGTGATCCCAACACCTGGCTCCTCAACCCGGCTATGATCTCTGCGGGTATAGGGCTGGCCTCTCTACCCGTGAGTATATCACCCCCGATGGTCTGGAGCTCGGGTCGTGATCTCACTGCACCTCCTCGAAGATGACCCTGACTTTGTCGCCTGCTTCTATAGTAGGCGAGGGATCCTCCCCAGTGCTTCTTGCGGGTTCCTCATGCCACCTATGGCCAACTGATTCTGCCTCTCCCTGTCGGTTGGCCCTTGAAGGGAGGATGCATCGGTGACAATCAGTGCATTTCAGAGTGTCCTCCTTCCGCCAGGCCGCCTTGGTGTTCTTGTGGAAGGCAACCGCAAGGATCTTGCTGAACAGCGTGGTGTATTCTCCCTGGGATTTGGACGCCCATTGCGTCTTCCCATCCACTGTCTTCTTCCTCTGGACCGTTGGGAGATGCGCTGCTTGGATCTTGGCGCCGTCCGGCCTGGAGAAGGTGCGCTTTGGGTGGTCGCATCTCTTTCCTTGCAGCCTGCTGAGGTCTTCGGTGTGACAGGAGCTTCGTCGGCTTCGTGGTTTCCAGGCCCGTTACGCACTGATCGAAGAGGGCCTCATCAATGCCGGTCCAGGTTGGGATCTCTTTGATCCGGGGCATGAGCCATAGCGATGGCTTCCCTTCAGGATGGTCTGGGTTCTCGATGCCCCATGGCTTATCTTGCTGCTGCGTGCGATCGGCCACCTTGTAGGATCTGTGCACCAGGACGTTGGCATCCCGTAGTTGGGCCTCCTCTGCCTTGGTCGCTCCCGGCACTCCTGTGATGTGGTCCAATGTACGGAGTACTCTTGGGCCGGGCTGCTTCTCCCTCAGCGGCGAGAAGGTGCCGCATGGTGTGGCGATCCAGGCTGCTTCGTACATGCCGTTGTCCAGGTCCTCCCTTTATGAGGTCCCATACCTTGTTGTCCAGCAGTTCGGTGGGCCGAGGCATCTCGGTGTCGAGACAGCACACTAACCACCCGAGTCTGGCGAGTTGATGCGCTAGGTCTCCTTCGCGTGAACGCCCCGAAAACACGATGAGGGCGTGCGGCTTTGTCGAGGTCTGCCCGATGGTGCTGAACCAGGTGCCATACTTGGTTGGAGGCTCTTTGAGCTCGACCACTCGCTTCAGCCCCGACGCCACGCTCCCCCGTGCGTATGGGACGCTCGGAGTGGAACTTAGGTCAGTGGGCTGTTGAGTGACAGCGGAACTCCCTCCTGTTGCTCCATCATCGGTGGGTTCTGCGTCCTCCTTCTTCCATCCAGCTTCTGCTGCTAGCCTCTGCTTCTTGGTGGGCGGTGCTTCCGGAGACTTGGGCGCAGCACGTTTCCCACCACAGCTTGACGGGTCTTGTTCAGCTTTTGAAGATCGGGCCTGCCC